GCTAGTTAAAGATATTGCTAACTTATAAGATAATTCATAAAATACAAATAAAGAATAACTAATTAATGAATATAAAAATAAAGATAAAATTACTAAAACTCATTTGATAACAATACTTTATATCTCTAAATTATTAATCTCTGTTCTGCTATCAGGAGATATCTAAATTCGTTACTGACTGTATTTGCCTAATCATATGTATTATTGTTTACTTTTGAGTTGTTTGTAAATACGTAGTTTTTACTAATTTGGATATTGTATTGTTAATCCTTTTTTGGGGTAAGCTAAATCTCTACAAACGTGAAAAAATAAAAATCCAAAAGACCAAAGGTAATATGTGAATGCAAAAAACTAAGTAAGAATAAATAAGTATAAAAGTATTTGTCTCAGTACAAATACTATAATAAGTCTCTTCTTTTATCTCTAAACTTCAAACTTCTGTAGCTTCTTCTTTTTAACTTTAATACTCTGCAAGATAAACTTTCAGCTAAAATATAAAAACCATTCACTTTAGCTTTTTGCTACTTATTGCCTTAAAGGTTTTATGAGACTATACACTATATGCTTCTGTTTTGAACTAATATTTTACTGAGTTTCCTTGAGTTTAGTACTTGTTTTGTAAAAAAGTTTTTTACTCCAGTGTTGGTTTTGGTAATCAACAAAAAAAGTTCTATTTTGATTGAGAATAATAATTCTTCTTTATTCTATTACATGTTTGATCTCTTTATTAGCATAAAACACCATTATCTAATTATTTTTACTACATAATTACTCTTATTACCCATCGAATTACCACATTATTGCACCACACATATGCGTAAGCTAAGTATTAGCTAAGAATTACTACATTGTTCTCGCGCATAATCTATTTCAATCACCGCTTCGCTCATACTCCGAACCAAGTACACGGGATGTTGGTCAGTCACGTGATAGTAAATAATACATATAAAAAACCTTTATAAATGCAATTTTTCTTATATTTGGGCCTAAGTTTAATTTGCATTTAGAGAGAAGTTGTACTGAGAGAGACTGCACTTAAAAAGAGTTGACTGTATACTACTGCATTAACTTTTCACACATGATAACTTTTTTACAAAAGATGCATTCAAAATTTGTGCTAAGTTGAGCTCATTTTTTTAAAAATAATTTATAATAATTATAACTTCTCTATATCAAGAAAAAAATTCATTATAGTAAAATTAGCTACGATAATCATTTTGCTTACTATGATATACAGTTGCCCTTTACAGGGGATGGACATGTCCGTATCTCTAGAAAAAATTAGAGATAACGATAAACACAACCTATCTTGGGAATCCTCGATTTTAATTAGACAAGCTAAAAAAGGTCTTGGAATCAAAACAATTATAAGAAATTTTATAGCAAATATTATATCCCGATACGACGGTTAAAATCTTATTGTAATTCTATTTACATTGTACAAAATAATAATTAATGTTTGAAGAGTAATGATGAGCAAAAATAGTTGTCGCGGCTGATACTGAAATTTGGGGCATCCATTTGAATAAAAAAACTACCAAAAAAGCCAAAAATGCATCAAAATGTTTTTTAATTTCAAATTATAATTGATAAAATTTCAGCATCAGCCAACAATAAATAATTTCACTCGTTGATTAGATAAACTGTATATTTTCACCACGAACAAATAAAGAAAACGGAATTTTGTATCAGGCATTAATAAAGTGACCAAAGTAAATTATTTATAACCCACTCCGGAATAGATTATATGTTTTGATATTCTGGTGTACTCTATTAACGACACTATTTCTTATGTTGATTTTCGTTCTCGTTTTTTCTTTGTTAATAGTCAAAGTCGTGCATATAGTGAATGTTTAATTTAGACATCTCAAATACAAGCTAATAAATTACGTCATTAAATCCAGAATCCCGATAGTAAAACCTATAATATGTTACCACCTATACGCCTGGCTAACCTTCTATAACCATCTGCAGTGAGTTTTTGCCTTCGATAAAACAGAATAGCACAAGACATACATGCAATGAATACATTAACAAACTATATATTAAAGTAAATATAAGTTATTGATTCGATATGTATCTAATGAATAATAAACTATATCCAAAAGTAATCAAACCTGGAATTCAAAGTATTTTACTCTTTCAAGCCTTTTGACTCGTCGACATGATCGATATTTAGGTAAATTATCAGGTTTTGATGTGCTATTCCATTCGCATTTAATTTCTTCTTTTTTTCCATATGGTTTACAATAAGACTCAGCTTTCTATTACATCCAAAAAAAAAAAAAAATTGTAAAAAACTTTTTCGGATTGTTAATCAAAATACCCATAAATATATTCACCGATTCTATTTCATTACAAGGCTCGCATTCTCCAACGAGTTTACAAGTACATTCTCCAGTCAACTCACAACTATTATTTGAATGATTTTGTGCTTGTTCTGTTAATTTCGATTTCGAAGATACTTTTTCGTCAAGAGCATTAAAGTCAGTCTTTATATCCTCTGCCAAGATATGAAGTATGAGGCTTTAGAAATAAAAAGCATTAATTTTGATTTCAAATCGGAAATTAGAATATGCATACATATGTAAAGAATAGCTTACCACAAAAATATTATTGAAAATAATAATTGTTTCATGATAGAAACACTAGTTGAATCGTTCTTAGTTACAATTAACTTTCAGTTTTCTTAGCACAAAGTAAGTTCGATTTGATTGGTTAAAAGAAAAGCGCGAAATCTACGGACAGTGCTACGGGACAGATCAGTCACGTGATTAACAATATGGCAATTTTTTGAAATTTTAACGATATTTTTTGTTCTGATTGCATAAAAAAAATTTCATCGAATTTCATCAGGTGGTTGCTGAGATATCTTCAACCAAAGCTGGGTCAATATTCAAAAGTCTATCAAATTTAAAGCTACTTTAAAATTTTTCAATTCTTTAAACGAAGCTATCTCGACAA